TCTATAATCTTCTTTTCCTCTGTTAGGGCTGTGCATAAATTGAAAAATGAATTCCACCTCACACAGGTAAAAGTGAAGGGGGAAGAGTTCTTAAAAAGGAAAAAATATATATATTTTATATATATATATATATATATATAAAACCACAAGAACATCCAGGAAGAGAAGAAAATGCGATCACTTTTTACTCATTTGAGATAACTAGATTTCAAGTCACCTGCCTAGAATATTTTTAACCTTCCCACCAGGCAACAACAGAGCCCTCACTAAGGAACAGCAACGTTCCAGAATGAAACTGGGTTTAGGAGACAACAAAGCAAGGCATCTTTGGGAACTGCACAAAACATGGGCAGCAACACATACCAAGCTCTGAGCACAGTCACTCCAAGTAGCATATGCTAAAACAATGGTCAAAAAAAATTACTGCCACAATGGTTATCTAATTATCTTGGGGAAATATCTTATATTCATTTGAAACAAATACTATAAAACTTGCCTGAGGCTTTTTACAAGCCTTAGTGTAATCCCTCAACAGCTAAGAGAAACTACCTCATCCAGCCCTCTGCACTGCCGAGCCACCCATGCATAAGTGTTACAGTAATGCAGCTGGACAGCTGAGACTGTAAACACAAGAGCAAGACAATTCAGTTAGGATTCCTAAAACACTGCCAAAGCCAACTTGACTGCAAGCATAAAATACAAACGTGGAACTTAGACAAGACAGAGCAGTCACTATGGGACTCGGTTGTTCATTTGCCATCCCTTAAAAATTAGAAATTTAAAACTGYTCTCTCTTGCTGCTAGCAGGAAGTCAGATGCCCTGTGCAAAAGTCCCCAAAAACACAGCCTAACCCCCTGCAGGAAATTAGACATTCCAATCCTCACCCATTCCACATTTTATCTGTATTCCCTCAGCACCACAAACAATTTCTGTGAAAGTCAGTAGCCCTTCACCCATTTACAGTAGTTACCACAAACGGGGTAAGTGCCGCCCTACAGCACTCGTGTAGCTGTAGTAGCAAGGGCAGCCACACAGACCCCAAGGTCTGCATGACCTGCTCCAAGCTCTGAAAATCCTCCCCCTCTGCTCTGGACTTCAGGATTTCCCTCGCACAAAGACAGACGTGACAAGCAAATATCCTCTGGAACATACCTCCATTCCACTGCCACTTACCTTTACCATGAAATCCAATTACCAATTTAATAGCTATGTGATCAAGTGGCACTAAAGATGCTCTTGATCCTCAAAACAGTTGGGACAAGAGTGCAGGACAGAGAATGCGTCTTCTCAAATACAGGGAAGATTAGGTTTGTGCCAGAACCTACTGGATCTCACTAGAGGAGCCTTAGAGAGTCTGCTCCTTCAGCTGCTTTCTGACTGAAGTCCACTCCAAGACTGCAATGTGTAGAGGCCAAACTCCACATGCTCTTTGCCCTCTCAGAAGCAGGCGCGTGAAGCATAAAATTCCTTATCTGACCACAGGGAAAAAAAGACAATTTTTGTGCCTTGGCATTCATGAATAGGACACAATTCTCACCTATGGGCTATGCTATCCTTCCAAGGACTCCTCTTTCCACASCTTAAAATTCTCAGCTACTGAGGCTACTCAGATCAGTTTGTTGTTGTTTTCTTAAATGTAGCTATCACAAAAGGGGAGAATGGCAGGTAATATAACAGAGCAAATAAGTGCAATTCAATACTTTCTCTCTGACACGGGCCAACGGATTAGAAGAAGGAGCAAGAAGCCCCAGTGGACAATYATGGAATGAGCTGCTCTTTTTCCTAACCTTTACGTGTTAGAGATGGGGTTATGCCTGAAAAATACGCCTTCTAAACCAAGTACTTKAGCTGAAGCAAGTCTGAACATTTCCATTCATAAGTGCTTGATCTTTTCTGAATTCTGCTCAGCTTAGCCTCAGTGCTATTATGTGGTAGTGAATTTCCACAGATTAGACATCATGTGAAAAGACTTCAAAATCATTATTCAGTTTGATGCCTATCAGTTTTACTGAACTGCATTCACCTCAACTGCAGAACGCATTCCAGCTCCTTCCCCTCTCTGCGGCAGTCTTCCTCAGGCTTGGCACTCAGCATTGCTGAAGAAAGCAGGGGAAAACTGAGCCCACCCAAGCGATGCTCACCCTGCATTCCAGCCATCGCAGCGCTCTCCTCACACTCCTCCGTGGCAGCTTCCCTTCCAAGCACAGCTCCCAGGAGGACAGCCCAGAGAGGGTGGCTCCTGGCATTCCGAACACGAGACAGCCCATGAGTTGCTGCTCCTGGGCACCAATATCTGCACATACTAGCAGTAAGAGTGTACATTAGCCTGCTGGCAAGAGAGGACCATTCCTGAGCGTAGAGCAAGCAAGGGGGCAAAAAAGTGAGAAGATGAATCTAAGACAGAGCCAGGCAAGGCCTTATGAGTCATGGAAACAAGCACACTTTTTTCCCTGGGAAGGGACAAAAGGCMGGGGTCTCAGAGTGCTCCCTTCCTGTAAACAAGGCAGGGCCCAACTTGCACTCCTCAACAATTTCACCATGCTCCAGAATATAAGGGACAGAGAACCACACAAAATCGCCTTCATTTTAAAGTTACAGCTTAGCATATTCCTTCCACTTCTTCTCTACCAAGCTTTACTACAGTATTTATCCCTACAGTTTCCAGGGGCTTTGAACCACTTAGGAATCTTGCCCAAATCCTCACTAACATGTGTGTTCATCATATTTTGCAACCAAAGAATGAAGACCAAGAAACAGTAACAATCTGAACATGTTCACACAATAAACCTGTGGCGGAAATTACATATCTAACATTCCAGATCAAAATTCTGACCATGGGGGTCACCCTTCCCCTCTAATCAGCTCAATTCATAAAAATAACATTCTTCTTATAGCAGTTACAGATGCAGGCAATATGGAACAAGACAGAAGCCCTTAGGTAGAGGAACTGCCATGGAAACAGAATGGACAATTTTATCCCTAAAGCRTTAGCCCAGTTTGCTGACATTACACACATAGCTCCTTTGCAGTCCTGTACAAAAGGGAGAGAAGCAGTGCATTTATTCAGTTATTACTGACAAAAAATACACGTTCTTAGCAAGACCTAGTTAAAAACTTTCACCAACACACATTCTGTCCAAGGTGTCATACATGAAGGAAAATATTTTTCCAAGCAAAGCTTTCAAGCAAGGAGATGAACATCTTTAACTCCAGGACTTAAATTTACCTCCAAAAAACAACCAAGTCAAATGAGTTGGAAAGGTATCAAATAGGACATTCATTCCAGAGTGGAGGAAACCTGCTCTCAAACCTCACCCCACCCAGACTCYTTTAAGTCTCCCTCATGTAGCACTTCCTCCAGCAACACGACAGGCTGAGGGGAAGGGACCTCACTGTATTATTCTGGGCCCTCTGCACTGTAAGGGCCAGGCTTTCACTCCCAAGGACACAGGATGGTTAACACATTACAATCTAACTTCCAGAAATATTCCTTGGGGAGAGGTGGTGGCACGTGGAACATGCCAGTTTTCAGTGCATCCCCCATAAAGCACAGCAGGCATTTGGCAAGTCAGGGAGCTCACTTTTGGATACTAAGGCAGTATTTCCTTGGGAAATAAAGGTTGTCAGCCTCCCAAACTCAGAAGCATAAAGTCCACTTCAAACAAATATTGAGACATATAGTCTCCATTTATGGAGTTCTAATAACTTTTCCAAAAGTTTACCTATCTTTGCCTTTTTAAGAGCATTTTATAGGCCACACCAAAAATGCCACAAACTCTTTCTCCAGCATGGCTTGGCACACTCCACAACAGCACATTCACCAAAAACACACCCAGTGACCTATCCAGCTTTGCGTATCCTGCTCGGGGACAGAAAGGGGCAGATAAGCAAGGAACTGCACATCTTTCCTAAACTACCTCCCCAAAACATTAAGCCCCATGGTTGCACTAAAAGCGGATGGAGAAGATAAGAATTCAAGGTCTGAGAGCTTCAAAACAAGTGACTTATCAGCGGCCAAAAACTACAAGCAAAGGATTGGAAAAGAATGCAAGGTCATCTTTGATTCAAGAGACAACAGGCCTTCACACGTAACAACCCCTCCTGACCTACGTACCTCGTTAATATTAAAGATGAACAGAGCCACGGGCTGCACTTTGCTACTTTGCTCACCCTTCTGAAACGTATTCCCGCAATTCCTGGGAAGGACTTAAAAGCCGGACACCGCTGACACTACAGCTAGGATATGCCAGTTTAAATGCTGAGCTGACATCCAGAGGCTGAACTACAGTGCCTGCACCGCAGCACTGGGATGCACTGGGATACACAGGCTTCTGCACAGGCTTCTGCAGCTGCAGAGTGACAAGCAAAGAGAAGACAACGGAGCGGCACTAAAAGTGACTTGACAAATAAGTGAAAGGGCCAAACAAATTTCAAAGAACCAGCTCTTAAGTGTCAAATAATTGCCCCTCTAGCCTGGATCTCAACACTGAATGCAGGGGAACACATAAAGAGCGGTGGTGCACCCAAAACATCCTTCAGGGCATCAATTAAATCATGGCTGGAAAAAAAAAAACAACACAGTGGAAGAAATAACCTAACAGAACAGAGGATCACTGGAATTACCTGACTTGCAACAACCACAAGAGTCAGATCTTCAGCRGGGACTTCACTGTGACTCTGGCTGTGCAGACCGCCTAAATTRCCCAGTGAACACAGCTAGTGCAGCACTGAAAGAACAGAGTTTAGGTGGGTTTTTTGGATAAAGGCAGTGCATAAAGGCAGGGCATGAAGAGCACTAGCTCAGCTCTTTAGCTCAGCTTTTTTTCCCAGTGACTCTTACTGAGGTTTTTAAGAGTTGCTTCTACTTCTTTTGCGTCTCTGAGTTCTCAGCAACATCCCAGAGCCGGATGCTGTGCCACGTATGTGCTTGACATACTCTCAAAATCTCAAGCATCGGGACAAAAGCAGCTCAGCACCAGCTCCTTCCTGGCTTTCTTACCTGCCGCCTGTTGCTTCAACAAGGATTCATTGCTTCCTCTTACGCAGTCCCTCTCCCCCTCAGCTCTGCCTGTGATTCTGTAAAACACAGATGCACACCTCTGAAAAGCCTGCTCCAGCACGCAGCGCTCTACACTTGACGGACGGTTCCTCTCGGTGGGCAGCACCCACAGGGTACCTCTCGGAGCTGCCAGCTGTGCACCCCACTCGGGCACCTCCCGGCCTACCCAGGGCAGCCTTCTGCTCGCGGA